CCGTGTTTATTTTTAAATGAAATCCTATTTAAAATCCAAATATAATATGAACTGCTAATGTTTCTGGTAAAGAAACACACTAATGTTATGGATTCAAAAACAACCAAAATCACGATACTAACAAAGTGAATGATTTCCTGGTGATACTGCTTCTACCTGTCAGTGCTTAGATATTATCACGCTGAAAAAATGAATACAGAATTCCAACAAACTGTCATCAAATGTCTTTCTATTATAAATGTAGATGAAATGTATATCCCCATAATGACCTAAACAATAAAGTCTATGGCTTTTACTCCTTTACCAGGCTAGTTACATGATGTTGTCTAAATTAAATTCTGTCTCAATACACTACTATGTTTTAGCTTTAACTGTAATATGTTCTTTCTACATTTCAAACCTCAGTTGCTCTAATGTCTGTTAAAATATTACAAAATTGTTTCATTATCACAGGTCAACTTCTTCGGTTTCACAGTAGCCCCTTGGCCACTGCTTCTTTGTTACCTGTTATAATTCAAATCAATATTTAGAAACATCTCAACATTCATCAAACAGTATCTTATCCCCAGATATGGAGCAGGTTAATTACATTCAATGCTCAGTTTGAACATCTGAGTTGGGGCGGAAGGTTTCTGTCAATCCTTAAAAGAAAAATTTAAATTGTGAATTTTACAGCCATGTTGAGATTTATACATTATACTCACTCCCCCTTTTACACATGAAATCATGTGTAACAAAACCCTGTAATGGGAGGGGAACAAAAACTGTCAGGTAATTGGTTAGGGACATAACGAACATTATTTACAATTTGACATCATTATCATTATTTCCATAGTGAACACTTCAGTGAAAAGAAGTGTTCCTCTCCGTCCTTCAGGCCTAAAAGAAACAGAATCTTCAGATTTTAGTTTTACATTTGCAAACCGCCAACTCATGTGAGAGGAAAATATCACATGTGCGGTTTCCCCTTTTTGTGGAATTTTTAGGAAACCTCTCGTTTCCCTTGGAGCTCCAAAATAATATGTTAGTCCAAAAACATGCTTGGTTAGTTATTGTTTTAGAATCATGCAGTTACACTGATCACATGCCGGCATTCATTCACACTCACACTGTCTGGTTGTCATGTCAAGTTTGGTCAGCTTCACCCCAGAGTCAGTCATCCACAGTGCCTTGTCAAGTTACACTGTCGGTCAGGGTCAAAGGTCAGTTGGTCTCCGTCTTTTTTGGCCATGTGTCGTGCTCTGCAGAGACTTTGACATTTCAGCCTAGGCCAGTATCCTTTGTCTACAAAAATATGTATATATGGATTAATTCACGATTTCTAACTTTTCATTGGGACTTCTGCCTCCCACTTTTCCTGAAACTTGGTACAAAACTCACTTCCTTCGAGTACTACTACTGCAATCCATTTACACCTAATTAGTATTAAAATGTCTAATGATCTATTTCAGAAACTTGTGTACATAACTATTATCTTGAGTCAAAACATTACTAGGATCTGTGTCGCTCTGCATTGCATAGCTCATTATAATTCTGGTCTACTTAAAAAACAATGTTAAACTCTTTTAGCAGTGTGTGGAACCTTGGGTGTCCGAACATGCAACAATTACTCCCTCCTTCATCAAGGATTTAAAACCGAAGTCGTTTTATATTTCCATCTTAAAGCCCTCCTATGTCAATAACTATGCCACAATGGTGAAATCAACACTCTAGATTGGAATTTTATATGTGGCTTGGCACCAGCCCTCCCTTTAACATTATTAATATTTGTCCTATAGAGTGGTTCCTAAAACTATCCTGTTAATGGTGATCAATATTGTAACCAATGAGATCGCTACTTTATTCACACGTGAATAAAAATCTCTTAAAGAATGATTTGTTAACATGATGAAAATATTGAAGAATATGGTTCTACTCTGTCAGTGTGTTTTAGGATGATTATCATTTCACTTTAATAGTTTCCTCTTTACTGATATTTTTAATTTACCAATTGATTAATAAATCTTTCTGTCTTTACGTATTTATGTAGTTAATTCAAGTTATTTAAATGTGCGTTTCGTGAATAAGTGTGTTTATGTGTAACTCACTCATTCCCGTTCTCCTTTTCTCCTCCCCTGGTTTTCTCAAGCCGTGACCCCGGCCTCCTCACTTCTAATCGACCATGCCAACTCCTCTGATTCTGTCTTCTCTTCAGTCCATCAGCTGTTGAATGCTGTAACTTTTTTAGGCAGCCATTGGCCCAGTCACATCTGCAGCCCCATCATGCCACTGTTGTTGCACTCCTCCTTCACAGTCTCTCTGCTGTTTTTATGGAGGGCGGATTCTGCTCTCATGTCCTGTCTGAGGGGCTGATGAGAGTATCTCTCTGTATGTCAGCATGCTGTTTGGTTCTGGATGCCACAGGTGGAGATAGTTCTGGCTGCAGTCTTGATGTAGTCTTGTTGTTGTTGTTGGTTCAGTTCTGGTTCTCTGTCTGTACGATGGAGAAGGAGGAGTCTCCTGTTGGGTTAGGTCTTTTGTCTGCTTGGAGGGTCGGGATCAAAGCCTTTCTAACTCAGAGGGGGAGTCCAGGTCTCGGGACACCTAACCTATAAGAAGTCTTGCACACTGATGTCAAATAAATCCAACCCTTTCCACTCTGTCTCTTTCTAATCATACCACCTGTCTTAGTTGTTAAATGCCATCTAAACAACATAATTAATGTCTACTAATGATATTACAAAAACTCACTCTAAAAATTGTTTCATCCATTGTTACATATTTACCCAACACAACTCTGAAATACTTACATGTTTCCAGCATCACATATTCCACACACTACGGAAAAAAAACAAAAACATCCCCATATTTTCTCTCATTTTAAATCCCACTGTTACTTCGAACAATAGTAAACCTGCAGAGCACACCAATCGGATCACAGTAATGAAATTTGAATCAAGTGTAGGCCTATGTCTACTTTCTGAACATTTATTTATATTGTCTAAATTCCTTGTCTATGATGTGCAAACAGTTCGAGTGTAAAATGTGTTTTTCACAATGTATTTACACTCTACAGATTATTGAGTTTACTCATCTCCTGGTGCTGTCGTTGTAAAAAATGTTCAATTCCTTATTGTTTTGTACCAGTTTTCCAAAATCAGTTCTAATTAATATACTGGGCTATTGTCGTTGTTACTATTAACGTGCTTCCCGTCTTCAATACCGGCCAGTAATGTAATGAAAAATGTCAAGGGTGTGCTACCCCCTTTCAGCCACTAGATGGCAGCAGCAGAGGTCCGCAGACAATTGCTCACACAGGTATTTTAGGTATAAATCACACCGATTTATTCCCCGTACAGTTTGTCCAGCTTTTATAATGTGATGTTTATTTCAACAGGCTAGTGGACCTCGAATGATGAAACACAGATCGTGAAGAGCCCTTTATCCCACGTTAGCTTTTCAAATTAAGTTTACAGACAAAGGGAAACGCTCTCCCTCGATTTAACATATAACTGACCTCTGGCTTTTAGCTTTCAGCCTTGGTCTGTTATTTAACCCCAGTTTTAAACGGCGACCCGATCTAAAATATCGAGTTTCCAGGTTTTGTAGTGCAGGAATCAAACCTCGCAACCAAACAAACTGCACCGTCTCCACGCCACTCAGGAATAAACTACCTGCAGATAAGCGCCAAACTGCTCTATTTACGTTACGCAGGACTTTCCGTCTACCTGGCGATCAACGTTCACGTTTTGTATATAACTTTCCTAACATAGTAAAATATGCATTGTATATTCCATTTAAACTTACTGGTCGTCTGGATTCTTCCTCAGCTTCGTTATATCTGGCACGTCGAGGGTCACCACTTGTTAGAGATTTAAAGGGAAAACTGATCCGCTTTTCAAATCTCCGCGCGTCCCTATCAAGCTGGTTAATACAGGAAGGAATCCAGAGCTACCAAATAACCGTTAAACAATAATCTACTTTAATGATAATATGACAATGCAATACAATCAATACAGTACAAATTTAACACAGTTAATCCCTGGGATCCCGAATTTACCTGCACGTGAGCCAGCCAGAGGAAAGAGGCTGAACACCGCGTGTGTGTCTGTTTATACTCTTTGACAATGGGAGGAGTTATCAGATCCTCCCATTTGGAGCTCATTGATTGGCAGCCCAAATATCACAGACACCTCCGACCTTAGGTTTCCCCAACCACTGTAGCTAGATAAGTTGAATGCAAATCAAGACATGCTCTCACCTTCCCCCATCTTCCTTTGTCCTCAAAAACACATGTCAACAGGCCCCAAATCCAGCTCACAGTTTCACCCAAATTATTCCCATTTTAAGCTTATCCATAGTTTGCTAACATGAATAAATACAAATATAACTCTACACCATGTACATGTCAAAATTATTCCCAAAGGTCAAGGAATACCATGATCATAACACCAGAGGGAGCTCCACAAATCATGTGAAACCCAGATTTGGCACAAAAAAGGGGGAATACACGTTTCGCAATTATGCCACATCAAGGTGGAACGCTCTTCCCACAACTGTAAAGGAAAGTAAAACTATACTTACCTTCAAAACCTCTCTTAAAGAGCACCTTCGGGGGAGAGCATTGCAAAACTGGCCCCGGTAATGGTACAAATCTCAACCTGTCGTTCAATGGACAGCTTCCCCCCCCCCCATCTATGTATATACTCGCATTTTAGACTCTGTTACTAACTGTATATCTGTAGACTTGGTATGTCTTAAATGTCCGGTTAGGATGTATTAGAACGAAATCTAAAATGAAAATTGTAAACAAGCAATCTGTATGTAAAAAAACCACCTGTATGTAAATTGTAAATAAGCCATCTGTATGTCAAATATGTCTTATATGTCTTAAATGACATGATGAATTGGAAATGGGGGACCCTGATGTAAACAAGACGAAAGTCTTTCTCTGGTCTGCATCCCCTTAACAATTGTATGTTTTGAGCTGTACTGTACTGTACCCAATATACAAGCTGTTAATAAACTTTTCAATCAATCAATCAATCTTTACTCTGAGACTTGATATTGAAAAATGTGTTTTGAGACATAGGATTCCAGTGAAAGTATTATTGGTGCTAAAGCTTCATCCACTGATACAGAGGAGCATACCAGCAACATTGCTGTGCTCATCAGGCTCATTTCAGCACTACAGGTGTTTTTCCATTATTAAAACAGAGATCTTGGCCAGTACTACTACCCAATAATTAGAATATGTGTGTGACCTGACATGGCTGAAGCCCAGCTTCTCGTACAGCGACACAGCAGCGGTATGAATGGAGCTGGTCTGCAGCACGACCTTGGAGAAGCCTTGCTCCTTACAGAAATCAACCACAGTCTGAGCCAGCTTGAAGCCTAGGCCCATCCTCCTGCACGATGGAGAGATAATCATCCTGAACAGTTCCCCGTATCTTTCTTCCCCACTTTGTTTGGCCACTACAGCCACCATTCCCATGATCTGGGTCCTCCCATCCACCTCAGCCTCCGCTACCCAGAAACAATCATCCACTCTGCTCAGATAGTTACCCGGGATGTCCTGCATGTCTGTCCGGAGTTTCTCCCTAAGGAAGCTGGCGTATACCTCATGACAGCAGAAGTAAACGAGGCCCACCCAGAATCCTGGTAACACCACCGACCCTAACACGGAGCCGAGCAGGTAGCCAGCGACACACAGAGCCAGGGCGATGGAGAGATGGAGAGAGCTGGTCATGGCGGTTCGAAAACACGGACCAATGTGCTCGTTGATGCCTACGCTAAACAGGTGGAGCACTGTGTCCTGGTCTGAGGGACGATACTGGCGGATCAGCAGCTTCATGACTGGAAGGAACTAGAATAAAATAAAATGAAGGATTTACACATGAAATCTGACAAAAATGTATTTGAGTGTGTTCATTTTGGGAGCCAATATAATGTCGTTTTAAATTGTGTATACATTGCTTGTTATTAGTGCTTTACTGATGTAGATGCTAAACATATTAAGAGTTGCAATGATGAGTAAAATATTCAACTTTTCCAATTACACTTTATTACCCCCTTTTTTGGAAAAATATTCAATTAAAAAATATTCACTTGTTGTAGCTTCTTAATGTGAGAAGGCTATTTTTTGGTTTTACATTGTGTATGTATAGTAGAGTATATTGGATATGAGGCAGAACAAGCTTCAGTAAGAACTCACCTTGGCCTCTGGTAAATTCAGATGGACAATAATTTCTGTCTTTTTCTAGATGAAACTCTAAAGTATATTTCTATATATTCCTGTAGCTTAGGCCCTAGACTGTATATCGTAGTATAGAGTACTCAACAGTATTTTATATTGTGAATGTGTGTATACTTAATGCTAGTGTTCATTTGTATTCTTACTATACTTTCCCTTTTAACTTGTGTAATGCTTGACAGTAGCCTACTTCTGGAACAAAATCATTTCCCAATTTGGGATAAATAAAGTTTATATCTATCTATCTTAAAAATAATGTATTATTATTATTTATTATTATCACTACATTACCAGATCAGCAAAATATGTATTAAATGTAGCTAGGTATTTGTCCAGCTGTTTTGCTTCCAAGCTGGTAGCTGTTTTTTTTAAACATAACATTGTGCTGTGTTAAAGTTTCTTGTAATAACATGTAATGACCTCACTGACAGTGTTATTAATAAGAGACTAGCTGTATTGGTGACTACGTTTTTAATTGCTATGTTGTACGAGTACAGTAGTCTGTACAGTAGTCTGCTGACTAAATAAGGTTTAGGAGGGATACTTTAAATTGCATTTTGTTACAATTAGAACTTACCTCTACAAAATGTTATCAGTACCCTGACCTAAGGCAAGGCAAGGCAAGGCAAGTTTATTTATATAGCACTTTTCAACACAAGGCAATTCAAAGTGCTTTACAAAAAATGAAAGAGATTAAGAAAATGGCAGTCATTAAAAAGAAAAGCTAATAAAATAAACATTAAAAGAAAAAATACATGGATACAAGTTACAGTGCTGTCAATTAAACATTAAAAGAAAAAAGTACATGGATAAAAGTTACAGTGCAGTCTAAGATATGAATAGTTCAATTAAAAGCAGCGACAAAAAGAAAAGTCTTCAGCCTGGATTTAAAAGTAGTCAGAGTTGCAGCGGACCTGCAGGTTTCTGGGAGTTTGTTCCAGATATTTGGAGCATAATAACTGAACGCTGCTTTGACCTAAGTATCACAATCAAACAGTAATGTAACCTGACTACTTTCAATTACTTTTGGATTACCTGAATATCAAATGTGATGCACCATATGTGAAATAAATATCAATAAGATGTGTAAGAAAACACAACAATGTAACCTTAGAAAGGAAACTAAGATACTTTGTATCAAAAAGGTGTCCTCTGTCCTTTAACAAGAAACTGAATATGCTCTATTTAAGTTTAAAACAGTATATGGAATAAGAATATCCACAGTATTTTTACAAAAGCCGGTATTCACTTACTGAAATGTCAAGAAGAAGAAAACCACAACATATACAGCAATACAAAACCCAAGTATTCCATATGATTAACAGGCCAGAATAACCTAGTTTACAAATGCTGTTTTAGTTACAAGCATTCACATTAACACATCAGGTGTCCACCTACTGCAAGTGTTGTAATGTGTAATATGTGCTTTGTTATATTTATGTAATTTAATATGTATTGTAACTTTTTAAACCTAAGGCCTAATCCCTTTTTTTGTGTGTAGGCCTATGTACAATAAGAAATGTCCTATAGCTAGCTGAACCAGCTGAACTGTTAGCATAGCCCCATCTGTAAACTCACCAATTGATTAGCACAATATGTCACGAGCTAACTCTCATCACATACATAACCGTGTTAGTTGAACAATTCATTTCAATATAATACTGAGCTCACGTTAGAAGAAACTAAACAATTGAAACTGAAAGTAACGCTACGGGCCTGCAATAAACTATTTTATCTGTTCTAGAAACCCATTGTTAATTTGTAGGCTACTGCCGCACACTTAAAGATCACCAAGCGTAACTTGTCGGATAGCTTTGGTTATAACACTAACTTTATATGAAAAGTGAAGTTCTCCATACTTACGTTACTCTGTCAACTTGTGAAAGTGGAGGTCCTTGTCGGTGAGCAGACCGAACACCGTCTGGCATTAACGCCCCGTCTACACTACAGGCATCACACAATCTTGAAGCTGGGCGTGTCTGAGGCTTGGCAATTCCTCACGCCCAAGGCGACCAACAACCAATCACATGAATCTCCCGCCCCCGACATACAAAGCAATAGCAATGTTAAAACGAAATTATAAACCAATCATAGATAACTGACAAAGTGGGTTGACGTGATGACGGACATGTGTTATTTTTGTATGATACTATAAATTGTTTCTTTGAAAAACCTATCGATTTACCATTAAAAATAGTTATGTAAAACCTTGTTTGAAGATCATTTTTGTTAAATACATCCCAAACTAGTTTATTTTTTATTTTGTTCTCTTGAGTTCTATTTTGTTTATGTTCTGACACAGCAAATGAATCTATAACTTTAAAACTGTGGGTTTTCTCTGGAAGTGTTTCCTTGTACGATGTGAGGGTCTAAGGACAGAGGGTGTCATATTGTCATACTGATATTCTGTACAAACTGTGAAGTCCACTGAGACAAATGTAACATTTGTGATATTGGACTATATAAATAAACATTGATTGATTGATTAATTGAAAGGGTGACATTTCATTATTTTGGTTATTCAGTTTATGGGCATATCCTCCCAATTAAATTAAACACATTTTCTTGATTGAGAAATTAAAAATGTTTTTTTTTGTGTGTTATTTTTTCCTTTAACTTCCGTGTGACGAATATATAAAACACACAAATTGTTTGTTGGGTAAAATAAACTATATAAATTCACCTGTAAAATCGTAGTAAGTGAAATAATCTTATGTATACACTGGTTCAGTTTCTGTTTGACATGTAGGTTTCATTAATATTGCAGATCCTTATTTATTATTATTCATTTTATTTTGTGTCTTATTCTGGTACCATCTTATTAGGTAATTTGCATTTTAAATATGTTTTGATACATTTTGAACTAACTACGTAGTTTGTTATTGATAAGTATCAGAAGATGTTTGTCTGACGTACCTGTGAATGTGTGTTTTCCACTCTCTGGATTAGTGTTGCACGATGTGCCGATACTTGAAAGGTACCGCGATACCCTGTCGTTAAAAACGGTACGATTCCTCCGTTTCATTAGTATCGGTACTTTAAGAATGACGGGGGGAAAAAAGAGCCGTGTGTGTTCAGCGCTCTGCTTCCATTCCCTGCACTGCCCGTGCCTGCAGTCCCGCCCCTCTCAAGCACGTTCTAAGTCCCTCCCCTCTCTCGTGCACTCGGCCACGCGCTAGATGCAAGAGCATGTGAGAAAACGAGAAGCATGGCTGCAAGTGGGAGTGCAGCTGCCGCTGCGCCTCGGCTTGTTGACACAAAAGACGCCAGAAGCGACATTTGAAAGTATTTGAGCTATATCTCTGACAGTGAGGGCAAGCCTACGGACACCACGAGGCCTGTCTGTGAGACATGTTTTAGATCCCTGCAAACCAAGGGAGCCAACACATCAAACTTGGCTAAGCACCCGCCGACCGGCATCCAGAGCTGTTTAAAGAATTTAAAGACAGACAGGTTAGCAAATGATAGATCAGGGGTTCCCAACCTTTATTGTGCCAAGGACCGGCAGATAGGCTACATTAAAAAAAAATCGCGGACCGGTTGTCAATTTTAACTGATTTTAATATTTACTCACCAGCAGGTAGCAACGGAGGCTAATTGTATGTAACAGCCTGAACAAATAATAGAACAATGCATCCAAAACATATTAACAACGTTTAAAAAAGAACCGGTGTCGTTTTTTGGTTTTTCGGAAAAAAGGAAAACCAAAAAACCAACGTTATTCAGTTTTTAAACCAAAACGGGAAAACAGATAAATCAACGTTTTGGTTTTGTTTGTATGATTTACGGCATTTGTTTTCAGAAGATATTATGATAGTGACGTTTGTTCCGGTGCACGTCCGACAGCATTTAGCACTACATCGAAATTAAGATTAAACTAATTTGTTTTGGGAACACCCGCATATAGGCTACCTATAGGAGTTAGCCAGATGTGTGTAAATTACTGTTCATGGTCATTTGAAAACAAATGCCGGTGTCGGACAGACACAAACACACAGCTGAGCAGAGCTCACACACACACACACACACACACACACACACACACACACACACACACACACACACACACACGCACGCACGCACGCACACACGCACACACACACATTATGCGCCTTGGTGACCGGACATCTCCTTCATAAAACTAATAAAAGGGGAGTAATCGGGCAGTTCGATGTGTGTAGAGATGTGTGTGGTTAACACGTAGCAGCCTGCAGTCACTCGCTGTTCTGATGAAGGTAAACACAGCGAAGGCGGTACGTACAAAGGCACAGCTGTCGGCGCGCTGGTGCTGCACTTCTCAGAAGCGGAGTTACACTGATGCTGCCTGCAGCCATTTCATGAAGTGAAGGAGGTTTTCCTTCTATAAAACAGTTGCGGGCAGCAGATACCGTGAGAGTCCCGGACATGAATTCATAGATCAAGGCAGACTGGTTTACTCTCCTGTTTTGCCAATCCGGTGCTTAAACAAAGGCAAGGCAAGTTTATTTATATAGCACTTTTCAACACAAGGCAATTCAAAGTGCTTTACAAAAAAATGAAAGACATTAAGAAAATGGCATTTAAAATCAGTCATTAAAAAGAAAATCTAATAAAATAAACGTATAGCTCTACACCCCTGGCCGACATGTCCTTAAAATGAAGTCTGAGTTTGAAATATATCTCAAATAATGTATGCACTGCCATTTCCCCACATAAACATAGCCTAACAGTCTGCAATTAAACGGTTGTCTCCTGTGCGCTCCTCTTCCTACTTGGCGCACCGGTAACTTTCTCATGCGCACAAGAGGCTGAGACCATGGCCCTTTCTCATTTCTCTAACTCCCCTCCTCGACTCCCTTCCTCGACTCCTATCCTCGAGACTTAGTCCCGCCCACAGGAGATGCGACCCGAGGAACTGAGGAGAGAGGAGGGGAAGCAGCAGGCAGTTAGAGAAATGAGAACTCCTCTCCTCTGAGCGGTCATTTTAAAGAGACGTCCATTAATGATGACAGCAGGAGGCACAGCAGCCCTCTGTCTGATGGACAGATGTGTTCATGACGACTTATATATATACTTTTAATTCATTCACAGTGCGGTATAATGAGACAATAACAGGCTACAGATGCGGGGACACACACACACATATATGTGTATATATTTATATAAATATATAAAATTTCAGAATCAAACAGAGCACTCTCATAATAAAGTAACACTATCAGAGACTGGATATATCCCCCCCCCCTCTCTGGTCGCTACAATGAGGACAATAAATTACGGGCCAAAAGTTTTATTTACAAGTATTGAAAGTAAGCAGAGGACACCAAACCAACTGAAACCCGTCTGTCAGCTGCATCTACGCACACACTGTACCACACGCACCTACAGCTAACAGCCGTTGTGTATTTTATTATGTGAAGCACTAAATGGTTTTAGAAAAATGTCGACTCTTTGTTTGTAGATATCTACTAAACTAAAGCAAATAAAGAGAGTAGGCCTGTTATACTGAGTGATATATATTTTACACACTGCTCTGCTTTCTGCACGGACCTCACAGCTGTTCTCACTGTAAACATCGCGTCGCGATGAGAGCAGTTAATAAAATAATATCCAGGGGATGCATGCAGAGCTGTCATTGGCTGAGATCAGTCCGGCCGTGCGTCACAACTCTTTGAAACATCTCTGTTCCCGGAAATGCATCCACGAAGGAGCCGTGGAGGACCCATCAGTGTATCCTCGGTTATAGCTCCTCCAGAGAGCCTCCTCGACGCTCGAAGTGCATTTAGAGAAATGAGATGTCCTTCAACATGGCGCGCTGAAATTCATTTCCGGTTCACTACCGGAGGACCGAGGAGTCGAAGAGGGGGATTTGATGAAATGAGAAAGGGCCCAGGCTGAGCCGCCGAATCCCTCGGAACATCATAAAAGCCATTTTCAACAGTTATCTGGTGAAAGATTAACTAGGCTACTGGATGAAATAATATGACTGGTATAGGTGCGAACATTAAACACTTTTTGAAAAAAATATTATGATAAAATATTTTTATATATTTATAATTCTGCAAATATTACGATAAACTCACAGCTATTTTGCGGCCCGGCAGTAACACCTCCGCGGCCCGGTACCGGTCCGCGGACCGGGGGTTGGGAACCCCTGTGATAGATAACATAATTACTAGGGCTGTCAAGTTAACGCGTTAATAACGCGTTAACGCAAACAAAAATTAACGCCACTAATTATTTTAACGCGATTAACGCATGTGTATTTTTATCCTCGGCCGCCCCGTAGTTTCAGAGCGCATCGAGTTTAAAATACCATCTACAAGCTGATGCTGACAGCCCCGCTCCTGCCGCCCGCTTGTGGCAGACCACACTTCCACGCTCACCGGCAGGCACCGACTGGCCATCTGGAGGACCGGGAGGGTGTGTGTATGTGTGGCCCGAGCGAGCGAGAGAGAGACCTTACGTGCATTGTTGTTGTTAGCATCTGGTGCTAGCTAGCTGCGCTAACGGATCTAAGGAGATGTTTAAATGAAAACAGAGGAGCGACATTTCGCCACAACTGCGCCGAGCACTTGACTTTATGCAGGAAGCCAGACAGTGGGACATTGTACGAAAAGTCAGCACACTCAGCACGGATAGTGCGCGCAACATGATTGCAGTGTCCAGGCAGCTCCCGTTCGAGCCTTGAGTTGCACATAGCTCCAACGCACACACACACACACACACACACACACACACACACACACACACACACACACACACACACACACACACACACACACACACACACACACACACACACACACACACACACACACACACACCATTTGTATTGTATTATTGTATGAGAGGTTCCAGGTTGAATTGAGGCGAATATTTGTAATGTTCAGAGGTTGTTGTGTTTAATATTCATGAGAATATTTGTCATTGTTCAAATGATAATA